GCCCGCCCCCGCCCCCAGCGCCCCCGAGACACTCTCAGCGCGGGGCGCCAGCGACGGCCCGCCCCCCCTTGCGCAACCCCGCCCTCCACCTCTCACTGCAGCTGCTGCGTAGTCGCGAGGCCGAGCAGGGCCGCCGCAACCTAATCGAAACTCAATGAATTCGATCATCAATTAATCAACGAGGTTGCGGGGCCGAGCAGGGCCGCCGCCACCGCGATCATGGCGAGCAGCAGCGCCGGCGTCGAGAGGAGCCCGCCACCTGGCGGGAGATTGCGGGAGATTGTGGGAGATTGTGGGAGGCTGTGGGAGGCTGTGGGAGATCGTGGGAGATTGTGAGGGATCTAGACTCGGACCCTCGTCGCCCTCGCCGCCGCCGCCGCCGTCGGCAGGCGTGCCTGCGGGGGGAGGTCGAGAGGAGAGGTGAGAGACGGTTCAGAGACGGTTCAGAGACGGTTCAGAGACGGTTCAGAGACGGTTCAGAGACGGTTCAGAGAGGCGGTGTGTGTGTGCGTGTGTGTGTGTGCGTGCGTGCGTGTGCGCGCGTGTGTGTGTGGGGGGGGGGGGTGCCGCGCGCCGCTCGCGTCGCCTCCCTCCTCCTCGGGCGCAACGAGGTCCGGGAAGAGCTCGCGGAAGAGCGCCTAGTGCTGATCAGTTGGTAGTGATACGTGTCATGTATTCACATGAATAGGTCCGGGGAGAGCTCGCGGAAGAGCGCCTACTAATCATTAGTACACCGTGAGCTACTAGTTATGAACGAGGTCCGGTCGGGAGGAGAGGCTATCTCCCGCGGGAGGAGAGAGGCTAGACCTCGACTATATCTCCGCTGGATCTCGGCTAGACCTCGACTATATCTCCGCTGGATCTCGGCCAGACCTCGGCTAGACCTCGGCTGGATCTCGGCAAGACCTCGGCTAGATCTCGGCTTGATCTCGGCAAGACCTCGGCTAGACCTCGGCTAGACCTCGGCTAGACCTCGGCCAGACCTCGGCTAGATCTCGGCTAGAGAGAAGAGAGCGGCGCGCCGTCTTCCGGTTGAAGGCGTGAGACGCGCGCGCAAGCTGCGGGGCGGGAGGGGCGGGAGTCAGTAAGGGCGTGGTGAAGTGCGATGCGCGCGGGGAAGCGCGAGGGCGCGTGAGGCGCGAGGGAAGCGCGTGAGGCGCGGTGAAGCGAGGCGCGCGGTGAAGTGCGAGCGGGCTCGCTCTCTCTCGCGGCTCTGGTCGCGCGTGGAAGCTGCAGGGATGGCTGTGTGCGATGGGGCTGAGGGCTGGCTGCGTGGAGAGGGCAGGCTGAGGGCTGGCTGTGTGCGATGGGGGATGGTTGTGTGCGAAAGGGGCTGGCTGTGTGCTAGCGGCACGAGAGACGGAGAGGGGCGGATCTCCGTGCCGCGCCTCGCCACCTCGCTAGATCCCGGGGCTGGTCTCGGCAGGTGGGGGCTGGTGCGTGCAGCTCTGGCCCGCCTGCTGCCTCTCTGCTGTGGACTTTTCGACGGAGCCGACGGTCGGCGTCGACTCGAGCATAAAGGAGAGCACGCCGTTGAGGATGGTGCCGACGGACCAGGCCGGCACCCACGACTCCGGGTGGAAGTCGCTCATCGACAGGCACAGCCGCGTGTTCGTGTTGAAGCGGCCGTTCGGCGTGAGCATCATGATCGCTGGCGGCTTGTACGGGTAGTCGCTCGGAAAGAGCAGCTTGCCGTGGTACTGGCCGCCCGCGTACGGCGTGCTCGCCGGGCCGTTGATCACAAAGTGCCACTCGAGGATGTTGTTCGGGCGCGGCTCCGCCGAGATGTTGGGGACCGGCTCCTTGTTGAGCCTCTGGTACTCCTTCTGCAGCCGCAGCAGGCACGGCTTGGACGCCATGGGCTGCTCCTCGCCTGCGAGGCCGGGGCGGCGCGGGTTAGGAGCGAGCGCGGGACCTGGGCCGGCGCGCGCTCGCCGCCATCTGAGCACCCTGTGCTCTGTAGGCGCCTGTGTGTCGCTGTGCGCCGGCGTCCCGGAAAGAATTTTCCGCCAAATCCAGGAGCCTTCGCCAGGTCGTGTGAAGAGCACTGATGCCGCAGTGAGTGAGTGTTCCCGGGCCCTGCGGGGAACTAAGTCGGCGCAAGTTAGTCTGTGAGCTGGACAAGGGCTAGTGGTGCGCCGTGGCGGATCAAGTGGTGAAGTGCTCCCCCGGGAGTCGTGGTCGGAGGCCGGGATACTACGCGCACTAACTTAGTGTGCGGAAGTGAGTGCCTCCGGCAGGCCGGGGGGGAGTGGTCCAGCGGGCCGCTCGCAGTGCCCTTCGCCGGCGGACGGAGAGGTGGGCTCGGCTACCACGCGCACTGGGCTCGGGGGGTGGAGTGCGACGAGCGAGCGATTGAGCGCGCTTTCGAGGGGAGGGGGGAAGAGCGGCCGGCCAGGTGGGCCGGTCTCTTCGACGGCGCCTAAGGGGTTGCCGTCTGCTGTGCTCCTTTTGGTACCTGTGTCGAACCTGTGTCGGAGAGAGAGAGTTCTTTTTTGTTGAATTCTTTCCTGCCGCCTCATTCAGCGCGGCGCTGCCCTCGGCCCTCGAACCCACCGCTGCCCCTCGTTGCCCATCATGGCGTCCGTGCAGTTTCGGAGGGGAGACACCGTTCAGCCGGCCGCGCCTTTGAGCAAGTCCGTCATCTTTGGAGAGCGTGCTCACGGCTCCGGACGAACGCGGGCGGCCGAGAAGGCTGAGGCGGAGATAACCTCTGTAGGCACGTCCGGCCTCGGCGGCGTGCTGGGCTGGATCTGTGTTCACCCTTTCAACACGCTGGCCGTCCGGATGAACCTGTCCGTCATGTCGAGCGGCGGCGCGCCTCCCGCTCCCTTTGCCTCGTTCGCCTCCGACCTGATCAAGCGCGAGGGCGTCGCCGGCCTGTACGCCGGCCTCGGCGCCGGTTGCCTCCGGCAAGTCTTCTACGCGACATCGCGGTACGGCCTCTTCGAGACCTTCCGCGACGCGCTCGCAAAGTACCGCAAGACGGACTTTGCGCAGCGCTTCGCCACCGCCTCGGTCGCCGGCGGCTGCGCCGCCCTCATCTCGTGCCCCGTCGAGGTGATTGGGGAGATATGGGGAGATATGGGGAGATATGGGGAGACGTGCAATCTCGCTCCCCGGCCGGAGAGAGGGGCGGATCTAACCGCGGCTGATCTCGGCTGATCTCGGCTCATCTCACCCTCACCTCACCTCACCTCACCTCACCTCACCTCACCTCACCTGACCCGACCTGACCCGACCTGACCTGACCTGACCTGACCTGACCTGACCTGACCTGACCTGACCTGACCTGACCTGACCTGACCTGGCCTGACCTCACCTTACCTTAGGTCTGTCTGGTCCGCATGTCGAACGACGCGTCGCAGCCCGAGGTGGCCCCTGTCGTGATTAGTAGGAGGAGTAGCGTAGAGTCGTGAGGCGCAGCAGCAGCTCAACAACAGTAGTAGCAGCAGCAGCAGCAACAGCAGTAGCAGGAGTAGTAACAGCAGCAGCAGCAGCAGCAGCAACAGCAACAGCAGACCCCCCCCGCCCCCTCTCTACCTCGCCGAAATCTCTCCCCTCTCC